AACGAGCTCAAGTGAAGCAGCAGAAATACCGGCCATGAGGCCACCACGTTTCACTTCGGCGGCTTCTCTGGAGGATGCTTGTTCAACCCTAACCAAGTAAACTTCAAGCACGTTTCCTGCCGAGACAACGAGGTTCGGGATAGGTCCAAGTGGCTTGGTGGCTGGCCAATCGGAGTCGACGTCGGCTGTGTGAATTTGCGGGGTGAAATCGGCGGCGGAGTGAGTGATGAATCCAGCGGCACAGTTCTCGATGCCGGTGGGGCAATGCATTGTCTTGCACGCCGCGAAACTCATCTTTGCAGCTTCTACGGCAACGTTTCTTTGGCCAATTGAAGAACTGAGGGAGAAATTGAAGGCTAGGGTTTTTTGCTTAAACCCGTGATTTGAGTTTGGCGGGAGGATGAGCTGTGGCCTGTGGACTGACAGACCAGTGAGCAGTGAAAAGTGTGTGTAATTACAAATTTGATTTGCCGGACGGGAAGTCCGCTTCTTTGTCGATATAATTTCCAACGGGGTGTGTGAAATCGTAATTTACCCACTGAATTTTACAACTTTAACAACACCGACACTATTCACCTTTTCTAAACGACCTCATTCTTTATTCGTCAAACGGCCAAATATATACTCTGTTTTCAAAAATGATCTAAAAATAACTCTCATTGTACTATTTGATTATTTATATCCTTGTAGTTATATTTTGGGTTCAAATATATCCCTTATTTAAACGGATGGACACGTATCATCATCTTGTTAGTCAATTCTAAATATCTTCTAATTAATTAAAAAGATTCATTACCCATACCCGAAAAATAATTTTTTAAAGCAATATGTATTTTGTAAAAATTAGAAAATACTGAAATTATTTTTACTAAACTGAAAAAACGAAAATATTTTTTTTCCTAGTTTTTACAAAAAAACTGCTTTAAAAAACTGAAAAATATTTTTTAAAACAATATTTTTGTAAAACTGAAAAATAATTTTCTAAAGCAATTAAAAATTTAAAAAAAATTGAAATATTTTTAACTAAAAACTGGAAAAAAAATATTTGTTTTTTCAGTTTTTACAAAAACATTGCTTTAGAAAATTGCTTTTTACTTTTTTCAGTTTTTACAAAAATATTGTTTTAGAAAATATTTTTCAATTTTTTTTAAAGCAGATTTTTTGTAAAAACTAGAAAAAAAAATTTTTTTTTTTTCAGTTTTTAGTAAAAAAAAATCCAGTTTTTTCACTTTTTACAAAAAAAAAATGCTTTAGAAAATTGCTTTTCAGTTTATTTTTTCCAGTTTTTATAAAATATTATTTTAAAAAATATTTTTATTTTTTTCTAAAGCAGTTTTTTTGTAAAAACTGGAAAAAAATATTTTCGTTTTTTTTCAATTTTTAGTAAAAATAATTTCAGTTTTTTTCAGTTTTTACAAAAAAAAAAATCTTTAAAAAATTGCTTTTCGGATATGGGTAATGAGTCTTTTTAATTAATTAGGAGATATTTAGAATTGACCAACAGGACGATAACACATGTCCCTCCGTTTAAATGAGGGGTATATTTCAACCCAAAGTATGACTGCAGGGGTATAGATAACCCAATAGTATAACGAAGGGTATTCTTATACCATCTTTGAAAGCAGAGGGGTATATTTGGCCATTTGCCGTTCTTTATTCTATTTTTTTGAAAAATAAAATTAAACTTAATGACAAAAAAAGTTGAACAACATTTAGAAGAGAGAAATTCAAAAATAGCCAGATTTACAAGTGGTCATTCAAAATTAGCCACAGTTTCAAAAGTCATTGAATTTTAGCCACTTTTCATGTAAAGATAAATATGAACGAAAACACTATTCAAAATCCGGAAAATACTCCAGCATAATATACTGAAATTCCAGTATAATATATTGGAACTCTAATATATTATATTGAAATTCCAACAAAGTATACTGGTCCAGCATAATATGTTGAAAGTTCATACATAGGTGCATCGAACTCCAGTATATTATGCTGGACCGGTTTCTGTTACAGCAAAATAGTGGCTATTTTTCAATGACGTGGCAAACGCCGACTATTTTTGATTGACCAGTCCGAAAACTGACTAGTCTGTGCTATTTTAACCATTTAGACATGAATTGGTTGATATTTGAAGTTAGGTTGTGAAAAAATATTCGAAAGTTGAAGTTGCGTTTGAAATTTGAACATGAAAACATAATTAAAGTTTTGTGAGTAAAAAAAAAAAAAAAAAAAAAAAAAAAAAAAAAAANACAAATCGCACGACTTCCCAACTTCCGCGACAAGAACCTGCAATCATAAATAATTTTGTTATAAGTAAATAATTGTTAATATCAAGCAAATGTAAAAAAAAAAAAAAAAAAAAAAAAAAAAAAAAAAAACTCTTAGACATGTTTGTAGTTGAAATAATTGACCAATTTCATAAACCAAAATTTATTTACACTATTCTCCAATTATTATTTCAAACATTCGAAGCGATATATATGGACAAATAGATACAGGCATATTCACTTTTAATTAATACTATGGCAGCAAATTACATGGAGAAAAGAGAAAATGAAAAAAGATGGTTTGGATTCTATATATTTATTCAATTAGAAGTCTCAAACATTCAATTTTTTATAGAAAACTTCTACTCCTTAATGAACTCAATTATTCGGTGCAAATTCAAATTAATTAGTCTAATATATTCTAAAATATACAGGTATAAATTAGATAAAATTAGTTGAAAAAAATAAAATAAGAAAAGAACACTTAAGTTAATTTCGAAATGTATGATTGAATCAAAATAATTTTTTTCTTCATTTAAGTATTCATCTCAATTAGAGGGGTCAGTGGAAAAAAAAAATTAAAGTCACAATGAATTCTCATTCAAATCCTATTACATCTGCATGAGTCTCCCCGCGTGCCATTAATAACTAACGAAGAAGAAGTACAATTTGATCTAAAAAATTTCAACTTAAAAACTTTCTTTCCGCGAAAAAACTTTATCCCTAAGCCCCTTTACTAGATTGATGCCCTTATTCCTAACAAGTCGTTGATCGGGATAATAGAATGAGAAATTATCGTTACCATACCAACAGGGGAAAAAGAAAAAATACATTGAGCTAAACTTAATCTTTGTTTATTCAATGGTTCATCAAATTTCAATAAGGAATCCTTCTCCATCCTATATCCTTTTGTGTCCATTAGCCGTCAACGTTCGAAGTAAAATAAAATTGTATATATATNTTATACGGAACAAATTCGCTAGAACTAATGTAAACATAAGATTTTTCCCAAAATTAATTGGTAGCGGCTTGAAAAATCGATGCAAATTTAGGAGGCCATCAAACGATTATGTCAAATGTGAAATACTTACTCATGTCCCATCATTATGCTTTACATTCGCGATAACAATCATTTTTAGCAATTGTGAAGCATGTGTTGGCCAGACCATTGCTATCGCGAGCCTATCCTCGCATTCACGATATTGGACCAGACAGTCAGCTCGCTATCGCGAGCCTCTCCTCGCGTTCGCGACATTAGGTCATATAGGATCAACTCACTTGCGATATCGTTATTAGTTCGCAAAAGTCGTCAAATTTACCTCCATTTGCCATCTCGCTCTCATTTTCGCGAACACACCACAACTCAGCAAACCAACAATTGGTTTCCAACTTCTAAGGTTTCAAAATTTGTACGAAACCCTCGGGTCTCAATTCAAATCCTACCAACAGGTCATAAACAATAATATCAAGTTATATACATAATCAAAGCGTAATTTGAAACGAAAAATCAAGATGTTAGAGTAAGCCATCCAATGTAAATGAAGAAACTTCCTTAAATCTTTATTGTAATTCGAATTCAAATGTAACCATTTCATAAACCTATCGTGGGTGAGAATTACGGAAAACATCAGCCTGACTCCTGCTCTAATTTACTAGTCCAAACTCCAAACTGAGATCAAGGAACATCAGACTACATGTAGGAACTTGTTTTACTAGATCAAATTTTCAATTGATTTAATCTTATCAGTAAAATGAGAATATCAAGTAAACATAGTTGACCCCTAGGCAAAAGAACTCGGATCTTACTCTGCCATCAATTCGTTAAGATTTAAACAGAGAACAGTCTATACGTTAAAAGAAAACACTCCCCCAAACCCCAAAAAAGGGGGACGGTTGAAATGACTGCAATTTGTAGAGATAATACAGCATTGAAATTGATGGTATTAATGTTGCCGTTTAGATTACAGAATGTCTTCTACCGAATAAAAAAAGAGAGGAAAAATCAATGCTAATTGAGTATGGGGCAAAATTGCTACAAGGCCAAACACACTTTTTAATAAGCTCTTCTGCAGCAGAAACTAGTTGAAGATTGCGAGCAAGGATGCATAAATTTATTGTTCCTCCAAAAATACTTATTTATAGCTCATCTCAATGTCCTTGTCCATCTGCAAACAAGAAAGGATGTAAGCGTCACATTGAGGGACTAATAATAATAATAGAATTCCAGTGAACTTACAGATCTGGCTAGCTCTTTAGCCTTCTCGTCATCAAAACCAAGTGTAGCCATTATTTTATGCCCAGCTGATTCCTTTTCTGACCAAATACCAAGAGCCAGATGTGCTATGGTTATCTCCCCACTTTCACCTGCAAATATGATCACGAGATCATACTTCATTACAAAATACATGTAAAGAAGAGTCTGAATGTCTGATGATGCTTGCCATGTATCTCCAGATAGATGAGCCTGGCTTAAGATTTTTAGCTCAATGTTGGCATCATTAGCTTTTCTGTTGTGTTTCACCATGCATTTCCATTGCTATGTAGTCATTCTAAATTTATGGTGTTTCATCCTCTTCACTATTAGAAATTTTGTCAATACCATAATAACGCGTCACAGCACTGAATAAGGATATTGTTTCAGTTTATGTGTTAGATGATTATGATGTAGGTAACAGGTGAACAAGTTTGTTTTACTGTTACACCTTGTGCGTCTCAAGGTGAAGTAATGAATATGAGACTTGTTAATCATGATTTAAATGATTTTAAAGTCATAATATGGCTATATATGATGTTTGGATAGAAAATATGAAGTTTGGGAAAAATCGGATTAAAGTTGCGGAAAAACCGACTAAGGATTTGCCTTGTAACAGAGCTTTTTGAGAAATAAATTTCGTGTACTATTTGAGGTCTATTTGGAACATATTATATACCAAATTGAAGGTCTTGGAATGTAGTTTCCAACGCTCTTAACTGTTCGTTCATATGACACCCGGATAAAAAATTATAAGCGTTGGAAGAAGGGTCAATCATAGAGTGCCAAGTAGCACCTTTTTGACTTTTAAAAAAAATGAAATATTTACATCCCATCTCGTCTCTTTCTCCATTTTTCCAGAAAACACACCCAAATAACACCCCTTACTTTACTCTTAAGCTCTCTGCAAGAGTTTCAAACAAGATTATCATCCCGGGCACGGAATCAAGAAGCGATAACATTAAAACGATCCCTACGACATAAGTATCGCTATATCGCCTCTCTTTTTCTTGTAGTTTGAGTTTTGGAAGGTACTTCATAGTTAAGAAAACGTGTACTTTCTGTATTTAAGTGTTTAAATATCAAGGAATGTTGAAAAATTCGTTTCCTAATAGTTAGAACTCACGGGACGGTGATCGGAAGCCGTGAGTTCGAGTTATTTGACTTGTAGTGGACTGTTTTGTGGGATGTTTCGTGTTACCTTTGGGCTGTATATTTTTCTACTGTTTAATGGAGTTTTGGAGGACAAATGGTGTGGAGAAACACCACATAATGATGAAATGGTGGGCTGGTCGTTCGTCGTTACATTTTTTTTTAGGTTGTTTGACACTACTTTGGTTGTCGTTTTATGTATGAAGTGATTAGGGTGTTTGGGATGTTTTGTATTATATTGTGATGGAGATAAGGTTAGAAAATGATGCTTACATGTTGCTATTGTTGTGTTCTTGTTGTTGTTGGTATATAGTATTGGTGGTATATGGTATTGGAGGAGGGCCTAATTACAGGGGAGATACTGCCCAAATTTACGTAAACGAGCTACTAGTTTAAGTTGCAGACTTAGCCTTTACTCAGCACTGATTTTGAATCTCCTTATGATGTGGTAGATTGGGTTGAGTTGTTTGAAGAATTTCTTGGAAAGTATTAAGAACTCAACGGAGTTAAGGTATGTTAAGGCTATCCCTCCTTTCCTTTTGGCATGATCCGTACGATACAAACGAAACGAGCAAATACGCAACTTTCATAAATGACTCTATTCATAGAAATACTAGGGATATCTATATTCTTGATTCCCCATATGTCTTATTATTCTATCATCTGTTCATGGGTCTCAGAAAAATAAGCAAGTTGATAAAGTTTATTTCATGATATTAATCAAAGGCATAGTGATCTTATGACATTTTGAGAAATCTTATTAACGTACTTCTTATGCATTTCATTCATGTACACATGTACATTGACCCATGACCAGATGGCGTTATATATGCGTATATTATATGTATATGGGATATGGGAAAAGGTTATGGCGTTATATACGCACCACCACTTGATCAGCTGGTATACGTTGATGATTTTGCCCATAGCGGCTAAGATGATACGATGGGATGCCCTCAGAGGCTTGATGATGTTATGTACGCATTTACCTATGCATGGTATGGCATTTATACGCACATGCATGACATTATAAATTTTCATGATTCACAGAGCTATTCACAATTACAGGTTGAGTTATTTACTCCATGTTTCTTTCATGTCTTTTATATACTACTGTCATGCCTTACATACTCGGTGCTTTATTTGTACTGACGTCCCTTTTGCCTGGGGACGTTGCGTTTCATGCCCGCAGGTCCCGATAGACAGGTTGAGAGTTCTCCTAGTAAGCTATCAGCTCAGCAGAAGGTGTTTGTGCACTCCACTTGATCCGGAGTTGCCTATTTGGTCAGTATGATTTAAATATGTATTGATTGGTATGGCGGGGCCCTGTCCCGACCTTTATGATATTTATGTACTCTTAGAGGCTTGTACACAGATGTCATGTATACGGATACTGGTATGGCTTTGTCGGCCTATGTTTTGAGTATATTAAGGATCATGCCAGCCTTATAGGCCAGTACGTCATATGTATAAGTCGGTATATCAAGTTGGGTCACCCTATATTGAGTATTTCATCATGTTTTATTCTACTTATCTGACGACAGCCTCTCCGGCTCATTTACCTATGATAGTATGGTACAAAAAATACATTACGTTGGTACTCGGTTGAGTACGGTACAGGGTGCCCGTCGTGGCCCATCGGTTTGGGTCGTGACATTCACGGGCTTAGGTCGCATAGTTACTGAGTCGATAACTTAGACTCGACATGACTCGGGAACTTGACGCAACAAATCTGAAAAAAAATGAGAGTCAGAAAATCTTTTTTTATAACTGAGAAATTCTCGAGGGCCAGAGGCACACGTTACAATCAGAAAATCTAAGGATGATGAGACCGTTGATGATGTGGTTGTTTTTCTGGTAATAGATGTGGTTCTATTACTTATGGGGAAAATAAAAATAAACACTCTGAATGTCCTAATTTAAATGACATTTCTTCCATTTTGTAGTATCTAAAATAATTTACTACCTTCCACTGATAAATTTTAAACCGCTTCAACATTTCAAGATGCAAACTTTTAACTGTTATATTTAATTTCTTTTTCTACTACTACTTACATAAGATAGAAGCCAAATTAACCCTTAAACTTCATGTTCAGTCAAATGAGTCAAATGGTGTCACATGAAATGAAACTGAGGCAATAGTATAATCTTCAAAGTACTATTTCAGATGGTCTTACCCCATTAGTAAAATCTGTCTTCCAAAATCAGGTTGAAAAGAAGAGAAGAACATTAGTATATGGAGCAGCTTAAAGAGAATATACTAAGGAGGAGCCTCAAGCGGCCAAAATATATCTCCATTTGACCTTGAGCTAAGCACAACAAATTTCTAGAAATGTAAGGATGTGATATAGAAGGTGACTATTTGTATACATGAGACACAGTTTAAAGAAATAAGGACAGGATATAGCAGACAGACATTGTGTGCAAGCATAGCAAATGCTATTTGTAAGTAAATCAATTCCTAAAATAACTTAACTTTATCAAAGTTTTCCTTTTTTTTTTTGGATGAAGAACTTTATTAAAGTTTATGGGCTTATGGCATAAAGTTAATGAAATCATACAGGTAAACCTTAAAAGTTCTTAACGCGGACGAGTTAGACCTAAATCAAATGGAGAGGAGTTATTTTAATTAGACGTTCTCTTAGGACCAAGCAGACCTAATGAAGAATAGAACACAATGGAAGCAAAAAATCCTTAAAGGTGATACCAACTACTTGAGAATAGAGCTTAATTGTTGTTTTTGCACTTACATCAGATCTAATGTTTGTCATTAGAGATTTTATATTAGTGTAGGGATAATTACAAAATTTAGAAAATCTCTAGTTTTAGATAACCCCTAATTTGCCTATTACGACAAGTTAATTAGTGGGCAGCCCAATGCACAAAGTTTCCCGCTTCGCGCAAGGTCCGGGAAGGGCCGCACCCCAAGGGTGTGATGCAGACAGCCTACCCTAACACAAGCATTAGTGGCTGCTTCCATGGCTCAAACTCAGTGACTTATAGGTCACACGGAGACAACTTTACCGTTGCTCCAAGGCTCCCCTTCGATAAGTTCATTAGTATTAATGAAATAGATTTGAATACAAATGGATGACCTACATATAGACCTTCCCACACAACAGAAAAATTACATATGCTTCTTTCTTTCCCTTGATTTGGTGAACAATCAAAGAAAATACAGTGCATAATAGGATTATAATTTATAGGAGCCACAGAAGCCATCGGTTCTATTTTGTGGTACCACTTCCACAGTTTTACTGCCACTTCAGCTCATGTGTGATCAATCAATAAGACTGGCCTGAATCTAATAGGAAGCAACCAAAGTAAGTAAGCCACAACCACTACAAATCTATTACGAGGACTTCATTTGAGACATAACCAACCGGGAAAAGATTGTACTCGAGTCAATAATTTCTTGTCGTATCCCTCTTCGGTCCATGCCTATAATGGCATTTACTGTCTCAATTAGGTCCATAAAGGGATTCAACTGCACCAATATCCAACTAATAGGTGTAATTCAAGGAGCTAACAAATTTAGCTAGTCTAGATAAATTTATAACAAAATCCATAAATTTATCTGGCTATTTGCAGTTTCAAGTTTACATCAACAAAAATGACTCATTAGGCATTTAGCCTTAAGTTTGTGTAGAGGGAAAATGACACCCTTAAAGCATCTGACGTTTCTTTCTTTCCAAATGCTTCAAAAAGTGCATGCTGGCACCATTTTCCATATCCGTTTTGTAGCCTACCCTGCCATCAAGAGATGAGAGACCCCAGCTAACATATGCTCCTTTAATGGTATAGGGCATTACCCGCTCATCCCAAAGAGGTTAAGAAACATACTCCTAAATCCTAATGTCTCTGGCAGCTTGACAAGAGACGAAAATGGTTGATGTTTTCTGATTCTAGCAGACACATGTAACACCTGTTTCATAGTATTATTCCACTTTTTGCAAGATCATCATGTTCAGGCAAGCTTCCTGGAACTTTCTTGGAATTTTGGCTTTCTGCATAAGTTCCCAGACACCGTTTAGGAACATTTATGAAGAAATTTGGATACCCATTTTTCTCTTTCTCTTCTCTAATTTAACATGTGTCTTGGGGTTATTATGGACACTTCCTACTTTTCCAATGCCCATTATACCCTTCGTGAAAATAAGTAGGGTTTTGTAAGATTCAAATGTGGATCTCATTCTCTCTCATAAAATTAATTATGAACATAGAAGAAATAAAATAATGTGATACGAGGGAAAATTTTACTTTTCCATGCACGCCTATTGCGTCAAAACCCTACACCTTCTATTAGTTGTAGCTCCTCCATTATTCCTTTCTTTCACTTGCCCAACCCTAAACCGAATACCAATATATGTCATGCGA